CGGGGGTAAGCAACCTTGGCTCTTTTATGACTCGTGGACTGCAACTCCCAGAATTCCTGAGCCAGCTGGCTCAGGAATTCTGGGAGTTGAAGTCCACGAGTCATAAAAGAGCCAAGGTTGCCTACCCCTGGTCTAGTCCAAAAATAATCTAGAGCAGGGGTCCCCAACCCCCAATCTGTGGACCAGCACCAGGCCGCGGCATGCCAGCAACCGATCCGTACTAACAAGCAAAGCCCCATCCTCGGGATGCAGGCAGCACACAAAACCATGCACCCTCTGGTCCGCAGAAAAATCTCTCTCCACGTTACCAATCCCTGGTACCCAAAAGGTTGGGGACCTCTGATCTAGTTCAACTTCCTGCCTATATAGGAAATCCACAGTTACAGTTTTCTTGATAGGTAGTCATCTGACCTCTTTGAATGTTCTAATGAGGAAAGGTTCTTTTCTGTTTAAAAATGATCCAGGCAAGCTCCTCCCTGATTCACTGTGACAAGGGTGTAAGCAGGAGGGGAGGTAAAGCACAATCACAGGCCTGCAAGATTCTATTTCAGGTAGCCCTTGACTTACAACCATTCATTTAGTAACTGTTTGAATGGCACTCCAAAAAGTGACTTACAACTGTTCTTTGCGCTTACGACTGCCACAGCACCCCTATGATCATGTGATCAGAATTTGGACACTTGGAAACCAGTATGCATTTATGAGGGTGGCAAGCATCCTGGCATTATGTGGTCACCATTTGCAACCTTCCCAGCCAGCTTCCGACAAACAAAATCAACGGGGGGAGGGGAGCCAGATTTACTTAATGGCCACGTGATTCACTTAACTGCATGATTCGCTTAACAACCCTGGCACAAAAATGGACATAAAATTGGGCATGCCTTGTTTAAGCAACCTTGCTTTGCAAACAAAAATTTGGTCTCGACTGTGGTCATAACTTGAAGACTACCTGTACTGTAGTTTATCTCAATAAAATGTACCTCTGCTCTTCCTGTGGAATTGGTTTCCTGGTATGGAAAGCAGCAGAAAGCAGGAGTTCGTAGAGATGCCTTGGCAAGATCCCTTCCCCTTTCCCCCCCCCACCAAAACAACCAACAAATTGTCTATTTCCACTATTTACCTTAGAACAGGGGCATCAAACTCAGTTTCATTGAGGGCCGCATCAGCATTGCAGTTGCCCTTGGGGGGGCATGTGGGTGTGGCCAGGGTGGGTGCAGTCTACTGGGTGGACGTCGATGGAGTGCGGGTGGCCTACTGGGTGGGCATGACCAGCTCTACATAGTTTGCGTCAAGGGTGCCTGGGCAGGAGTGGGACAGATCTGAGGATCTTTGGCAGAAAGGGGTGGGACCAGGGCAGGGCCCATCAAGCCAGATACTGAAGTAGGCGAGGGCCATTTGCTGCCCACTTCCAGGCAATGGTGCATTTCTTCATTCCTCACAAAGGGTGACACCTCCCCAGCATGCACCCAGGGAGCGGGGCCGACGTCACAGGGGCTGGTTCTTCGCTGTTTCCAGACGGCCTTGTGGAGCTAAGACTGAATGCATTTCAGCATAAATGGCCACCACAAAATTGTACATTGGCTCCCGGCCAACCTGGCCAGGGCCAAGGCAGCGGGGCTGTTTCCTCACTGTTTCCAGGATGGCTTTGCGGGCCACATGAAACCACTTTGTGGACTGCATCCGGCCCCCGGGCCTTGTCTGCCTTAGAATGAGGTAGAGAGGATGGTTATCCTTACTTTTCCTAATCTTAATATCCCTCAGAGGTAATGTGATTGTACAAATGCTTTATTTTAAACCGAAACAAATAAAGTTCAATATTATGCTTGCTTCACTCTCTCTTTGTGGGATCTTGACTTAGATGATGCCATGCAGTGACTACATAATAGAATAGTGGGAAAAGGCAATTCTGCAGTAGAAATCTGGTCTAAAGTATTTCATTGTGATTCATAGTATCAGCTGGTATAATGCCCAATTTATCATCTGCCTTTTCAATTCCCACAGTGATTACCATAGTGATGTTGCTGGAAAGCCTGTCAACCATTGTGACTCTATCTGCATTTTGAAGAGCCCTTCTCTGTTGCAGACTGCAGTAGTATTGCTTTGTACTGTTGAGTGAATTCTGCATAGAAAGTGAGTTTCATTCCAAACATAGAATGAGTATTCTTGGGTTTAATTCTTCCTACAGCCCCTTTCTACTTCTCCAACCCCAGAGAATTAGGGAACTTTTATTATAGCTTGGTAACTGACAGATGCACTTCACAGGAAATTGATGAAAATTATTGGCAATTAAACTTACTGACTTCTGTGAATTCAGAGATCAGACTATTCAATTTGGGATTGTATCTTAAACAAGAGCTGGAAATTTGAATCTTCATGCTTCTCATTTGCTATTATGGGAAGTCTGGGGACTGCATTTTTTCTTCACTCTGTCTCTACTTTTTAATAAAATTGGGTTCTATCAGGTTCTTATTACACCAATTTTCTGACAAATTGCTGCAGGACTTTTGATTCTACTGTAGTCTCTCTTTAATCTTTTTACAATTTTTATATGGACAGAAATTGTATTCACCCATATGCACATAAATTATGATTTTTAAGTTATTACCACACGTGTGGAGGTGAATACGCTATGACAGTGACATCTGGCCTGTAGTTCCAGTAGGCTTGTTAACTGAAATATATCCTCATATCCCTTATATATATTGGGAAAAACTTCATCCAGAGGAAGACATATAGATACATTCAGAATTCTGATTTCTAAACTTTTGATTCAGATAATTCTGAACTCTTCCTAAATCAAGAAGGCTTCTGACTAGATTTAGTCTGCCATGTTTCATGTATTCCTTTTGGTTGGATTCTGTTGACATGAATAACATGTTCCTGCATTAGTCTGTTCAACCTGGCCTCCTTTATAAGCATGATGTGTGGAAGATAATGTTGCACGCTAGAGTTCCTCACTACAGAAATAACGGTTATGTCAGTAGTCAGCAGAAGCCTTGCTCCAAGTACTATAGATATAAGAAAGATCTCCATGTTGACAGAAGGCAAGCAATGCTTAAGTGTCTTCATCCTAGTAAAGTTTTTAGCCATTCCATACCATTTTGTGGGACTTGGGAGATGTAACTTCCTTGCCATAAGTGCTTGCCTGTGGAACAGCACACTCCTAAAGATCCTGATGTCTGTGACCCTACTAAAGCTTTGGTTATTCCTCAGTTGTTTGGGCCAGGATGTTAGATGAACCCTCTTGGTTGGTTTGCTGTAAAAGTAAAAATAAAGTCAGTCATGTTGGACTCAAGGGCACAGTGCTCATCTCTATTACTTGGCTGAGGGAGTCAGCATTGTCTGAAGACAGTTTCTGCAGTCATGTAGCCAGCATGGCTATACACCAAAAGGGCACGGAATGCTGTTTGCTGTAATTTCTCATTAATTGTATGATGGAATGACCTATTTATTAACCATTAGAATCACAGTGGTGAGATGGAGAGCCATATAAATAGTTTAAATAAATAAAAAACAATAAAAATAACGAATCTGGGTAGCTTCTTCTGAGTTCAGACTGGGGTCTTACCTGTCCATGTCAGAGCCAGGGCACCCTCTCTGGCCCAAGTTTGTGGTGCAACAATAATAGAAAGTATTTACAGGAGAGAAGAACATCTGAGTTCTATAGGTCAAAGCAGTTCATATAAAACTCAGCACATCCTGGAAAGTGATGGGGACAGGAAGCAAAACAGTGGAAGTAGTCACAACAGTTTTATCTATTGTAAAAGTGGGATTTGAGCTAACTTGGGTCCAGCCATGGTGACAAAACTGCACATAGGCTGCAAGGGTTGGGACTGGGTGGGCTTTGAGCCACAAATAATTTATACCTGAATTTTGAACATTAAACAAAAACAAGTGTGTACAGCTGTCTGTAAAAAAAAAAAGATTTCACATAGAGGTCAAGGATGGAGTTACTGAAGCTGACTATACCCTTCCATGCACTCAGTAGACTGAAGGTTCCTATGTAGCAGTGGTGGCGAAGCTATGGCATGCGTGCCAGAGGCGGCACTCAGAGCTCTCTCTGTGGGCACTCGTGCCATCGCCCTAGTCTCGCCTCCCCCTGTGGTCCCCTCCTCACCAGAAGCCCCCTTGGAGGAGACTCGCCCCTGGGCACGGCCCCCGCAGAGCAGCACAGCCAAGGACACAACAGCAGGGACAAGACTCCACCCTCGCACCCCATCACACGCAGATAATGCTGAGGGGTGTGGGCGGAGGGCATGACCAACATGGCGCTGCTGGGCCGCCTGGGCAATCTGCTGCATGGGCTGTGGAGGCGGTGGGTGACCCTGTGGGTTGGCGGGGCAGGGGGTGGGGTAGGGGTGGGGTAGGGGGTGGGGCAGGGCGGGGTGGTTTTTGGGCACTCAGTCTCTAAAAGGTTCGCCATCACTACTTTATAGGGTTGTCTTCATTGTGTGGATTAAAGGGCTTTCTGTTAGTCCTTTCCATTGATCGCTGGATGTATTTCAACTGATAACAAGGAAAAGCAAGAGTGTAAAAGCTGGGCTATTATCAGTGACCAACATCTCAGAAACCTGCCTACACCTACCATGTTTATTCTTAGCCATTTGCTTATGTACAGGTAGTCCTCAACGTATGACCACAATTAAGCCCAAAATTTATGTTGCTGAGTGAGAAATTTGTTAAAGGAGTTTTGCCCCATTTTACGACTTTTCTCGCCACATTTGTGAAGTGAATCATGGCAGTTCTTAAATTAACAACAACACCACATTTGTTAAGTGAATCTGGTTTCCCAACATTGACTTTGCTTGTCAGAAGGTCACAAAAGGGGATCCTATGATTCCAGGACACTGCAGCCATTATAAATGTGAGTCGGATGTCAAGCATCCGAATGTAAATCACGAGACCATGGGGATGCTGCAACGGTCATAAGTGTGAAAAATGGTCATAAGTCACTTTTTTCAGTGCCATTGTGACTTCGAATGGTCACTAAACAAATTGCTGTAAGTCAAGGACTACTTCTAGAGGAGAGTCCTTATTTCTCCCCTAATCAGTTCTCTCTATTAGTTTGTACCAGTTTCTGTTACTTTTTTGTTCACTATATCTATTTTGAGACCTTGTTATTGAAGGAAATGTTGAATTTTTTTTTAGCAGAACAAGTTGCTTGATCTTGAGATGCATTTGAGATACACAAGATTGCCATTGCCTATGTATTCCTTTGCAGATATGAATATTTTATTATGGAAGAATTTCCACAGGGTTCCTAAGAGCAGATTGTTCCAGCAAAGAATGTTGTGTCTGTATAACGATACTCATGGTTTTAAAGAAGATGAAATAAAGAAAAAGCTTCAGCACTTTATGGGTGGCTCTGTCGACCTTTCTAAAAAAGATGATGGAATTGGAGTCCTTACACTGAACAATCCGAGGTTTATGAATGCATTTACAGGTAATAAAATCTGATATGAGGCAAATTTAAATGTGAAAAGTGATACGGTACCTATCAGTTATGGAAAAAAAATTAATCATCAAGTTGTGTGGTGGCATTCTGACTTGAACAAGGACAAAGTCTTCTCTCTTTCTCTCTCTCTCTGTCTCTTACACACACGCACACACATGCACACTCACACACTTTCTTGAGTTTGCAAGTGCATTTGTTTTTCATAGTCAAATCTCAGCAGTGTTACTTGCTGCTGCCAGCATGTTGTCTGATGCGTGGATGTAGCCAACAATTGCTGTTATAAATATATCCTAAAGATGCTGTTTGATTGTTTTTTCTCTTAATGGCAGGAACAATGATGATAGAACTACAGGAAAGAATTGCTGAACTAGAAGACTGGAAGGATGGGAAAGGACTTATTATCCGTGGTGCAGGAAATACTTTTTGCTCTGGATCTGACCTGAATGCAGTGAGAGCACTTTCCAGCTCTCAGGCAAGTGATGGCGGAAATTAATTTAAATTTGCACACCTTAAAATTTGGACACATTTTTCCTTTAAAGAAAGTTGGCCCTGAATCATAGTTACGCAAAAAGTAATCATAACATAACAGAGGAATTGCCCTAATTTTGTATTTGGTGCTTAAGTTCGCAGTTGGCATTCCAAGAACAAATGGCAATTTGTGTTTGAGTTATTGCCTGTTTTCTTCAGTGTATTTAATTTGGATGGAAATGGGTAGATGGTAGTAGATAGATAGACACAGATAATTTTGGTGGCTGTTTCTGAGATTGCATGGAATAGCTTTTCAAACAAGAACACTATCAGTCCTCCCCAGTACATTCCAATTTATGCCTTTGATGGGTATGCATTATTTTTCTCCCATTGTTTGCAACGGGATAAAAGAAAGATAAAGAAATCAGTCAGGATGTGACAACAAATATGAACTCTGGGATAGGCTGGTAGGGTTTTTAATATTTTGGAACTCCATGGGGAAACATGGTTACCCTGTTAGAGTGTAATCCCGTGACTTTTACTTCAGTTCCATTGAATGGAACCTGATTTCTGAATTTTGTAAAGATTTGTTAATTCTAAAATTGAGTATGTTTTAACTAACTAACATTAACTAAGTATGCCTGGAAATAAGTTCTACCTTTGATATATATTTTTTTCATTTTTGCAAATACCATAAATCTGGGAGAAATTGTCCTTGAACTCGGCAGGTATTTTAACAATTTTCTTTTCAACGACCTCTTTCTTTCTGCAACTATATTCAGCCACAGTCTTTTGTTTATATAATTGCAGGAGCAATAAGGGACTTGGATGTAGACAGCTGAAAGTTACTCTGGGTGTTGAATGCTCCACCCACTGCTATAATGTGACAATTAACAACAGATTGCAAGCTATGTGGAAAAGTGCTGTTTTTCCTGAAGCTAGTAATGTTGGATTGAGCAAGAAAGAAATCTGTTCTGTTTATTTGTTCAGGGAGGCTTTGCGCCTTGGCCTCAAGTCTGTTCTGATCCCTGCTGCTAGAGGCTCGGTTTGCAAAATATGAGAGTTAATATAAATATGCTCTCTTAAGTCATTAAATCATGCAGTTACCATCATCCAGGTTTCACTGAAATGTTCCCTCTCCCCCTCCCTCTCTCCCTCTCCCTTTCCTTCTCCCTCTCCCTCCCTCCCTCCCTCTCTCTCTCTCTGCAAGTCCTTGACTTACGAACATAACTGGGACTAGAATTTCCATCGCTAACCAATGCAATTGTAAAGTGAAACATACTTCACCTAGCAATGGCAATCCCAATAGTCCTGGTTGCTTTTGTAAGTCCAGACGCACAGTTGGCTACAGTAAGTGGGAAGCAGAAGGAGTGCCAAATTAGGAGTACAGAGGATGGGAGGTGCGCAGGAGTATGGGGGAGGGCTTAGGAGGTCCAAAGCAGGCCTGGCACGAGTTGCAGTGCTGCAGTGCAATGTAAGCAAAGGGAGGCCAGGAAGAGAATACACTGCAGCTCGGGGACTTTTTTGGTGTTCTGTGGCTCTGGGGCTGCAAGAATTCCCTAAGCTGTAGCCAGCACAAAGCTGCAGCTGCCCCTGGGAGCTTCAGCTACCCCAATCTAGCCCAGTAGCGCAGCATGCCGTGAATGCCAAATGTCAGTGAAATCCTAATGGTATGATGTGAAGCAGCCTCCTCCCCCCCCTCCAGGAAGCTCCAACTGCCCCTGGAAGCTCCAGCCTAGCCACCCTGGCCCAGCTGCACACCCTGCTCTGCACTCTGAGACCTCCGCTGCCCTGCGCTCTGCCATACTAGCTAACCTTCACCATCTTCTTCATTCTGCCATTGCTGCTGGGGTCTGCCCAGCCTGGCCCTTTGCAAAGCAGCTGCTGGTCACATCAGTCCTTATTCCCAAGGCCATTTGGAAGGCTTCAGAGCCTTGCAGGAAGGATTCATTCATTCATTCAATCAGTCAAACAATCAATTTATTAATACATTCCTTTAAGATTAATACATTTGTTTAAGGTTTGATGGATAAAGAGCTTGAAAGGAAATTTGTTACCACATATACAATAACCAAGCCTTGTGAGAAGGTTGCACAAGATTTGGACAAGGCTGCACATGGTCTCTGGAAGGCCTGGCATGGCCTCCGAAAGGACCAGATCGGACATGGTCATCAGTGGGAGCAAAAAGATGGCGATGTTCAACTAGAGTGGCAGGGGCCATGAAGCACAGGGGACCAAAAGTGCTTAGATGGCAGAGAGGGGAGATAGGCAGTGGCAGGAGTTGAAGTGATCCTGCTTTCCTAAGTGAGTGTCAGGCACCCTAATTTTGATTATGCGACTGTGGGTGCTGCAGCACTCGTACCTTTGGGGACCAGTCATAAGCCCATTTTTCAAATTGTTGCAAACTAACTGGTCATAAGTTGAGGAGTTACCTGTAGAAACATTAATTCCCTTTTTGCTAATTATCCCAGCACCCATGTGAGCTTTCCAAAGGGTGCAGGACCAAGGAAAAGGAAAACATAATTACAGCCATGTGATTTCCCACTTATCAACTGCTTTGCTTTACGACAAAGCTCCTGATCCCAACTGTGATTGCTAAACAACCAGTTGTAGACTGCTTGGCCATTACGCTCAGAATAGTTTGCCCATTTCAGAGGTAAGGACAGAATATAACTTACTCAGTTTGGATTTGACATCAGACCATAGTTTACAAGTAAACTGGAAGCATAGGAGAACGAAATCATATTGCATAGAACTCATTGGCATAGCGCTCACCCGTATCATACACTGACAGCTGACCAACTGGCCCGTTTGACTACTTTGCTTGCCAATAAAGCAATAATGTTAAAGGAAATGACTGACGAGCGTTGTTTTGGGGAGTTAATGAGGGAGTTTACAGGTTTCTGCAGCTTGGAATTTGGCTTATTGCAAAGGCGCTATGTTGCAGCCTCTCACTAACCACTGGTGGCGCAGTGGTTAGAATGCAGTACTGCAGGCTACTTCTGCTGACTGTTGGCTGCCTGCAGCTTGGCGGTTCGATTCTCACTGGCTCAAGGTTGAATCAGCCTTCCATCCTTCTGAGATTAGTAAAATGAGGACCTAGATTGTTGGGGCAATGTGCTGACTCTATAAACAGCTTAGAGAGGGCTGTGAAGCACTGTGAGGCGGTATATAAGTCTAGGTGCTATTGCTTACTGCTTTCTCAACTTGGTGCCTTCCTGTTCAATTGGGCTATAGTCCACATTCTGACTGCACAGAACTTTAGGGCACCAGGTAAAGGATGATTGCTGGATAGGGTGTGTATAATGTGACTGTTCTGAATTTTGGATAAAGATTTCTATTCTAAGCTGCTTAGAGTTCAGGCTTCATGGGAGTAAAGATAAATCTATTATCAAATATTACAGTGAAGACTAAAACCCCTTGCATACGAAAAACAGAATGCCGGACTAGGTAGACCTTAGTTGTGATCAAGTCTCTACATGTGTGGGGTTTCTTTAAAAAAAGAGAGGACAGCACTACAGTATATGTGAAAATGTTCTGAAATTCTTTGAAAACTGTATTTTTTATATTTAGACTACATAATGTATAGATTAGTATCTTGATTTCACTGCAAATTATCAAACATTAGTTTGTAAAAGTTAAGAAATCCTGATAATAATACTGTATTGCAGAATGACAAAATAACAAACAAATCAGGGAGGAAAGCCAAAAGAAGGATTAATATTATGAAATAAAATTCAAAGAAAAACAACAGTTTTTAGCAAACTGTTTAGCAAACTTAGCAAACCTTCACGATATTGTGCCACTTTCTGTACATACTTCTAAAATTGTGCAAAAATATAGAATCTTTGGTAACCGATGGGCCTAATTTTTATCAAATTGTTTGCAATAGGAATAGGAGAAGAAAAGTACTCTCCCTCCATTACCTCTCTTTCAAGAAGAACACAGGCTCCTTGAAAAGTTATTCTGTAAAGCAGTGGTTCTCAACCTTCCTAATGCCGTGAACCTTTAATACAGTTCCTCATGTTGTGGTGACCCCCAACCCCCCATCCAGCTGGCCGGGGAGGGGGGGCAGGAAGGCCACTCCGCCCAGCCTGGTTGGAGAAGTGCCACTCCTCTCCCTCTTTCTTTCTCTCTTTCCTCTCTCTTTCTCTTTCCTTTCTTTCTCTTTCTCTTTCCTCTCTCTCTCTTCTCTCTCTCTTTCCTCTTTCTCTGCCTGCGCTTCTCCCAGGGGGTGGGACACCCGGGCGCAGGGCCAATCAGGAGCCCTGCAGGAGGTAAGTCCACCTGAGAGAGAGAGAGAGAGAGAGAGAGAGAGAAGGGAAGCGAAAGTGCCTCTCTGTCTCTCTCTCTCTCTCTCTGCAAATGGCAGAGGAGGCCATGGGGAGAGGGATGTGGAGCAGTGTCTCGGTTCCTAAGACCATCAGAAATATGTGTTTTCCGATGATCTTAGGCGACCCCTGTGAAAGTGTCATTTGACCCCCAAAGGGGTCACGACCCACAGGTTGAGAACCGCTGCTGTAAAGGATGAATAAATGGAGCAGATTGTTTGGGAAATGTATTCTTTGCATGTTTGAGAACCAAGATACTTAAACACTAAAGATACAAAGCAGCTTCTTCCATTTTTATTGTTAGAATATTTCTTGATACTTTGTTTCTCTGTTTTCTAGGATGGGATGAATATGTGTATGTTCATGCAAAACATCTTAACCAGACTCATGAGGTAGTACATTTTATTTTGTGTATTTTTCCCCTCAAAATATATGTGTCAAGGTTCCGACTAACTAAACACTTCAAAGAACTTTCAGGCACTGTTTATCCTAAAAAGTCTTTAATCGTGAAACAAAGTGTCGGCATAGCATGGTGGATGCCAAGATCTGAATTCCCCTCCCTTCAGTGCATAGTATCTGACACAATTCCCTCCTCCAATTAGCAGTCATAATCATGTTCTCCAGTCAGTTTGAAGGGCAAAACTTCCCTTCCGTTCTGTAACACCATTTCTTATCTTATTAAAAACAACCGGGGGAAACACTTTTCCTCCTCCCCTCAGAATCTTCTAATTCTAAGAGCAGAGCAAAGTAAAGGAAAAGGCTGCCTCCTTATATTGTCAAAGTAAAAACATCCAGTATTTGCAGCATTGACAATATGAAGGTATATATGAAATTTCAGCATTATCTAATAATGGTAGATCCAGAAATATTTGGAAACAGAATAATTGATTCTTATAAAAAATGTCTTGATTTTTTTTAGAATTTGTTGATTTAGGGTCTTTTTTTTTTAATTGCTACTTGGGAATATGCCCTTTGTAGACATCAAATTCCAGAAACTAAGAAAGTGTTGAGGTCTTGTAAAATATACACACCCAACTCCTACAAATCCATCTTCCCTGTCATAGAAGTCAGTCATCTTAAAAATTTGGCAAGTCTCCTTTTTGCAACCTACGTAAATCCATGAACAGAACACATGCCGGGAATAAAACATGTGTTTAATCCACCATCTGTTATCTCCAGGCTCCCACATAAGTAGATTCTACTCTTCAGCATGTTTTTTACTATCTGTTGTGGTGATCAGGGATCCATATTTCTCTTGAATTATATATCATATTTCTGACTTCAGTTTTATGAAGGCTGTTGGTGAAACATTTGATCTGGTTACTTAGAGATGTGGAAAGCATTGTGGGTCTTTGACATTTAATCCCATTCCCATCATTTAGTACATTCCTTTAACAAGTTGTAGATTTATCACTTCCATGGCCTTGATAAAAAGCATTGAGTAATTCCTGTTCAAGATCACACAAGAATTATGAGACAGTACACAATGGACCAATGAAGTACATCGAGACAGTACACAGTAAAGAGAATTAGAAGAAAATGCTTAGTAAATTAATGTTGTGCTGTGCTGAAGGGCTGGGCCAAGACATACAATCATATACAAAGGACAAGATGACCCTCACTCTCCCAAAGACAAAAACCATCTGAATTGGCAGTTGAAAGTTATTTTAACACTGTCTAAGGCTGATCCAGCTTCTTTCTGTGAAGTATGTATTCTTAATTTTTTTCTGTGTGGCTAGGTTTTAATAAGCACATCTAAAAAAATCCCTCTAAAATTGAATTTTGTATCTGTTGCTAAAAGTCACAAATTTTTGTCCATTTGCATTCCAGTGATTTAAAAATGGAAGGAAAAAGTGTATTAATTTTGGGATATATTCACAAATAATTTAGGGAAGTCTTTCCTCATATTTATTTACTTGTGCCACAGTATCTGTATTCTATTCCAATTAATAGAGACTTGGGGAGAGAGATCCTTAGAAACTAACCCACATTAAAACAAAACAATAATAAAGAATAGCTTTATGATAACAGCATATTTTTAGAGTTTGGGTATAACTGTGGTGAAGAGTGACTATTGGGTTACTACAGGCTTACACTGTAGAACTCATGGGCTGGGATCCTCAGCAAACTTACTCTAGGTGTTTTGGTTGGATGGATGAAGTGTTTCCTGATGTATTTCCAACTTTCCTTGGATTAATTAGTGCTTACAGCAAGATTATGAGTATGTTTAGAAAAATTATGCATTATTGCAGCATATATTCAGAATGTATTTGATGAAATGGACCTTGAATAGATTTTTAATCTAAAAAAAATATAAACAGGTTTCTCAAAGGAAATATTACTGAAATGTGAATGCAAATATTGAGTATTGTATAGTAAGGATATTATTTCTTGGGATCATTTATCCTATATGTCTTTGTCTTCCCACATTGAATAAAATTAATATATCTAATTGTTCTTACAGAACCATGGAGAAGGGTTTTTTTTCTTTAACAAATTTTCAGCAATTTCTTAAGTTTTATTCAAAATCTTCTTTTTCACAATCTAATTTTGTTGGTTTTGATTGTACAACCCCATTCCGATGCTGTTTTCTGAATCATGTTTAGGGCAAGTGTTTTACTACAAAACAGTGAGAAGCAATATTAAAATGAATATAGATGGATTAGTTCCATCCTTAACATTATCTGAAAAAGATTTCAGACTTTTGGGGCTAATTGTGGATTTCTAGTGGGGGTGGGTTTCAACCTCACTGAAATATCTTCATGTGCAGTTGCTAGTCTTCGACTTGAATTGCTTGATAATGTATTTGAGATGAATAGATCAATCTATGCTTAAGTAATGTTGGGTGTTTTCAGGTTTGTAATATTTGAATTGTTTCTATTTGATTTCTCCTGTTATGTAGGTTACCTCTAATCACAGCTGCATTAATTCAAGGGAAAGCTCTAGGTGGGGGAGCAGAATTAACTACAGCATGTGATTTCAGGTAAGCTTCAAAGCATTGCATTTTGGGGCCTCGCCCCATTCAGATGCTATTTCCTCCCCAAATTGTACTTAAAGGAAATGTGGTAGCAAATCCAATGTTATCTTACCTCTTATTTTTTTCCTGTCCTAAATACCCTATTCTGCTCTGACATATTTTAGTATTTTTATTTAGTTCTATTATTATATCATAGCTCGCTCTCTCTCTCTCTCTCTCTCTCTCTCTCACACACACACACACACACACACACACACACACACACACATTTATCTCTATCTATCATCTATCTATCTATCAATCTATCTATCTATCTCTATCATCTGTTTCAAGCAGTGGTGAGATTCAAATATGTGAACAACTGTTCTCTGTGTGGATGCCGCTTCCAGAAGTCCATTCTGGGCTTGGGCAACAAAAAATTAGCTACCGGTTCTGCCGAAGTGGTGCAAACTGGCTGAATCCCACCACTGGTTTCAAGGTATATTTTAATGTGTGCACTTTACTTGTTAACTGTTTGATTACTTAATCTTATATTGTAAAACACTAACCTAAGAGAACTCTAACAAGAGGTGTATTACCCCATTTAGTTATCCTATGATTTAGAACTCATATTCCATTTAGTTATAATTGTTTTAAAAATGTTAAGCAATATCCTCCACTATTTTTATTTGACTGTGATTCATTCATTGTGGTTATAGGCCTGAGAATTAGATCTTTGTTGTTTAAAAGCAATACACTTAAACTGCAGTAATCTAACATTCTCTATTACACAAGCTTCCCTTCATATTTCCTAAGTATATCAGCTGAAATTTGTCTTCCATGTCATTCTGTTTCTTTAGTCTAGGTCACTAAAACTGTCTGTTAATAGTAAAATAGAAAGTCTCTTTCAAGTCCTTATTTTAATGCCAAATGTCTATGGAGATTCTCAGTCATCCAGGTCATGGTTGTCCCAAAGGCGCTTTTTCAAAAGGAATATAAATCCTTCCATTCCCCATCATTCAGTCAGAACTGAAGTGCTTCTTGGATGAGAAGCAAAACGTCTTCAAGAGAAAAAACAAAGACAGTCCAGTTACCTTTTGAAAAAGCACCTTTGGGACATGTTACATGCACCTTTCTAGGTTGCTACATGCCAATAACCCATATCCCAGGTGCCCTTAGTGATGTCCCTCTGCATAGCCCATGCTGTGCCTCAGGTGCCCCAAACTCCCTCCCTTGCAGGTGGGTTAAGCTTATCATAAATACCTGCCTGAGATATTCCAATGAGATTCTGTCCTCTGGAGGACATTGATCAAATATACCTGGCCTATCCAAATCAATCTGCAACCTATAAAGCTTTGGAGGCTGATGAAAATTTCCCTTTTTATATATTTAGAGCATAAATTTTCAACCAGATCAGAATATCAGATAATTACAGCAGTAAATATACATTTATTTATGAAATACAATATTCAGAACAAGCAGTCATATGTTAAATAAAATAAAGAGTTATATCTGTGTTTCTTGTAAGATTGTAAAGTTCACTTGGAGAATGTTTTGTGAGGAATACAAATACCTTCAGTTACCACATGTTCTGCATTAACTCAGTTGCATCAATGTCATAGGGTTGCTTTTGGATACTTTTTTCTTTGGTCATTGTTCAGAATTCTCCCATTCCACCCATCTTTTCCTTGTGCTTTTAGCAAGTACAAGTGATTGGAATTTGGAATATAAGACCCATATGTAATTCTTTGTACTTCAGTCTATGTAATTAGTAGCTCACATAATATAAATCTGGGAAAAAGCCCTAATCAGAATATGTGGCTCTGAACAAGGTCAGATGTGAGCACCACAATGCAGAAATTTCCTCAGCTTTCTTCCCCCCTCAAAAAACACCCCCACCCTACCCCCTTTGCTTTAGAGCCACAAATTTAATATCAGTCACGTAACACGGTATAATTTATAGGATTTTATGGAATCTTGTTTTACAACATTTTAATTCTTCTCCTAGCTAAAGATCTGGCTTTACAGTAATTTTGATCTTTTTAAAATTCATCTCAGCGCAACTAGTAATAAACTGGGGTAAAAGCGGTATCATTTAGCTAGCCCCTTCCTGAGCTTGTAAAAATGTACAAGAAGCTGACTGAGTTGGACAGAATGCCTGTCTTTTCAGCATACTGTTCCACATTGGCCTTCCAAATGTGTTAGGAAGATTTAGCTCAAATAGGAAATTAATATCCTGTTGTTTATGCTCCCCAGCAACTGGCATTCAGAGACCAAGGGTCTATGATACTGGAAATAATATATAGCCATTGTGATTTGTAACCATTAAGCAACAGAAATGTGTACAGTAATTGTGTGCCAGTGTTAACACACTATAATTCTTTCATACACCTGTAGAGCTTTAGAATTGAATAAGGCCTTCAAATTAAATTAAATTGAAGGCCTTCATTTTAGGTCTTTATTCAGTGGAGGAAATCAGAAGTTAGAACACTCTAAATGATGATTTTATTGTTTAGGAAAAAGACAACACTATTCCTCTAGGTAATTCGTTCCATTGCCAAATTACATCTATATCTGTATATGCTTTAAGATAGTCTCCTTTGAGCCAAGCTTGATTACTGGTAGCTTCATGAACACATCCATATACTGTGGGATAATAATATAGAAGTTCAGGCAAGCTAGATGACTTTTTTCTCCACCCAAAGCCTACAATATGACCCAAGTTTGAAGGTTTGGGTGCAGTAGTAAGATACGCCAGTTTGGGTCTTAGTTGCTGGAAATACAATTTAAACAGGATGTACTATGGCATGTCCTTCTGCACCCATCACAATTCATGTTTCTTCTATTTCTATAGTGCAGATAATTGCACCTCTCTCAGTTTAAAATTATATCATCGATGTGTCCTTGAACTAGGATAGAGATTTGTGTAAACTTTTGGCACATTCTCCTAATTCCCATTCCCAAACCTTAAATTTAAATATACTTAATCCCCTAAAGTTGTGTGCCCTTCTTGCTGTCTTTCTCCTGAGTTCTTTTTTTAAAATATGTCTTAATCTTCCCACAACTGGAAAAAGACCAGGTGGATTTTATCTGCATTTATATATGTAGTGTGTGTGTATACCTATATATCTATACATAGATAGAAATAGATAGATAGATAGACAGACAGACAGACAGACACTATGTGTGTGTGTGTATATGTGTGTGTGTATGTATATGTATGTTAATATACAGACACACACACTGTATATATAAACACATATTTGGCATGAATGGTAGGAAAGGAAGATTTGAACAGAGGTATATTCACATGCTCATCTGTAGGCACAACTCTGTGTATCCATGCCAACCGTAGAAATGATGCTCAGCATACCAGGGGTTCTTGTCCTCCTCTGGCCCAGCTGTTTGTTTATAGGAGGCTGAGAAAGGGGTGCAGGAGACTGATTTGACCTGATTTAATATAAATGCCATTTGCCTTGCAACAGTCTATAAATACAAAGCATAGTTCTATATGTACACTGCCCAGAGTCATGTTTTGAGATTGGTAACTATAGAAGTAGCTATAAATAGAAGATAGATAGATGATAGATGATGATGATGATGATAGATAGATAGATAGATAGATAGATGATAGATAGATGATAGATAGATAGATAGATAGATAGATAGATAGATAGATAGATAGATAGACAGACAGATAGATAATGAATGAATGGATGAACGGACAGATGGACGATAGTCTTTTCACTGATGGCTCTCCTTTTTTTAAAGGCCAGATAAAATCCATCATTAGAGGCCTTTAAAATGTAAAGAGATTACTTTACTCACACCATTGTTACTTGATGTAGCACTTAGCATACATTTCTGCCTACAATCTGTTTTTGTCATCTGGGTCCCATATATTCATATTTTGTCTACTATTTTTAAAATAAGTCATTATTATAAAATGACTTATTTTAAAAATAAGCTCTCCCATATAAAAGGAAATAAAGGGTCTGAACAAACCAAACAGGAAATCTGTGGCCAGGCCTTTGAATGGTAAATGTGACAGGATGCAGGTGTTAATCCTGCCTGACTCTTTTGTCAAATCATACCACACTTGTCTATTCTCAGGCTTGTCTTCTTCCCTGATGATTTTGATATTGGTCTCATACTTTTATACTTGCCTCTCATGTGAAGCCTCCTCCTGCCCTTTAATTTTGTGCCCTCGCTTTTTTCTGACCCATATGCCCTTTTCACCATAAAACTGCATCACTCCACAATCCCAAGCACCACACAAGCAAATGTTGGAGAAGATATGAACTGTGGAGACACGTAGCTATTGTCAGAAGTAGATATTTATACTGGCATGCCTATTCTGGTCTTTGGTTCTATTCCAACACTCTGTAGCAGTATCATTAGCTTCCTAGGAACGGTGCTAATTTTCTTATGGATTGTATGGTACATTGTATTTTTCCCTCCTCTTTTTTAAAAAAAGCACAATAAAGACTGACAGTATAATTCCACAAAGGTGTGATAAATAGCAGAATCTTGACTATAGTTGCAATTAACCATTTCCTACTACTTTTCCAAGAGGTAGATTATTACTCTTAGCAAATTTTGCCTATCCTGCCCTACTTACAAATACTGCAAGCTATCCAGTTTCCTCTCTGAAGTATCGCTTATTTGTTTCAGTTAAATGCTTTGTGTGGTCTACCTTTTTCTCTACTAACTACATGAAATATTAGCCTTCTTTTCAGTGTTCATCACTATCTGGGTCAAGTTTAAAATTAATTCAAGACCAAGACGTTACATTTGCTGTTGTGATATTACAATCCCTTTGTGTGTGTATGTCTGTGTTATGCATGTCACATACTATATCATGTTGTACTTTGGTTTTATGAATCTCCTCCCATCTGTGCTGGATTTCAGATGCTATATTTGGAGAGATTTTGAGATCCTAGTGCCCCTATATTTTTCTGGGTACATTTTTCAATACTATTCACTTTCATAAGTTTATCAGATTTCATTACAATCCACTGAACTGTTTCTTTTGAATCACCCGCCTCATAACAGTAAATGCATTTTCTAACTGTAGCTTTCATCAGCAGAACACGGCTTTTAGCTTGCTGCTGAACCCAGTGAGGTGCCCTTGCTTTATTACAGTCATCAATGAATTGGATTGATACTTTAGTGTGCCAGCTGCTCAGTATGAGGGTTTATGTCTTCATTTCATTTGGACATGAAGTTTTTGATGAAAGAGATGGATATCAATCTGTTTATTGAAAGTTTGAACTATTTTCCTAATGTGTGATATGATTTCTTCTTTAACAACTCAGTGAATAAATAATAGATTTCTGTTTAATGTTGAGCTTGGTTAGGTGAAATGAAGAGCAGGAGTGGAGTTGATATTTCTATTTGTCCTCCTGTGGCTGTGTTTTTAGCTGAGAGATCAAGGTGATGAAAATAACCACAGAAGTTCTCTCTCTCTTTTAGACACGGAAAGGCAGGGAGACAGGAATCATCCTCACAGTTGGATTAACTCAAGATTTATATTTAAAGTCTCCAGTCTGTTTTATTTAGAGAAGACATGCACAGTATTAAGTGTAGTTACGCAGGGCAAGGTACAGAGATAGACTTCCTTCAGCACAATGGGAAGATCACAGTCTAGAAAGGCCATATGCCAGGAATGCTTTAATCCTGATTCCTGAACTAAGCATGGGCTGAACTTGATGATCTAAATGGCTCCTGCCAATTCTGTGATGACATGTATACAAACACATATACCAAACAATGCATTGTTAAAAAGCATAGCCTGCCTCTTTGGCTGCGCATGAGTTTTGGTGAAAAGCAAATATTAGAAGCTTTTGTGGAGTAACTAGATAAATGTGGACTAGATACTACTACATTCTGGTGGATTTGAAACTCTTTAAACAACCACATCCAAAGAGGATTCATAAATGGATCTGCACATACCTGAAAGAAAGGACTCTTTTGAGTTTTCCAGAGCTTTGTGTTCAGCCCAATGTCATTCAACATATTTAAAAATGATCTACCTAGTACAATAAAAGGGGTGCTTATCAGATCTACAGATGACATTGGGGGAGGCAAACTAATGCGTTAAGAGGGCAGCAGCACAATTCAAAATCATTTTGACAAATTTGAACACTGAGCCAAATTGAGCAGGTAGGATGATGTTCAGTTAAGTTAAAAAAAAAAACTTTTGGATATGTATTGTGTATGCTTTATTCTGTTATTTCCAGCATATTTTTTAATTTTCACTTGAAAAAGAGACGATTGATAATATTGTAATTTTCCCCAATACCTAATTACCACCTTTGTAACAGTGCGATATGTGTTTGTCCACTGCAACTATCAATTTTAAATGTTTGCAAATGTAAAAGTAAAGCAGGAGGGAAATAGTCAAGCAAGATATGCTATGATGGACATGAACTTTAAGATCTTTATAAATTTGTGAACCAGAATGTCAACATTAGATCTCAAGAATAATGCTGAGAAAATTCTGGATTAGGGGAAATTTTAAAAACAATCTCTTTGTTTTGTATTATTTATGGTACAACTGCAGCAAATCTAATTCTGATGCTTGATTAATGTGTCTAGTATTAAAAGATGTTGATTGTCAGCAACTTTTATCTAGAACTGTGCTTTGCATTGAAATGAAGCTAAAATGGCATCATTGCAACACTTTAAACAATTTTTTTTTTAATTGACAGGTTAATGACTCCAGAAAGTGAAATTAGATTTGTCCATAAGCAGATGGGCTTAGTGCCAGGCTGGGGAGGAGCTGCCAGGCTTACCCAAATCCTTGGCAGCAGTCCTGCCCTGAAGTTGTTGAGTGGTGCTATGAAACTGGATCCAGAGAAAGCTCTTCATATTGGCTTGGTAGATTCCATCTTGTCCTCATCTGATGACCACGATTCTCTGAGAGAAATGCACACATGGCTTAAGCCATATACCACAGGCCCTGCTGAAGTCATTCAGGCTGTGAAGAAAGTTGTTTCAGCAGGAAGAGAGCTACAATTAGAAGCTGCCTTGAGGAGAGAAAAAGAGATATTTGGAACAGTCTGGGGTGGCCCTGCTAATTTGCAGGCATTGGCTCAGAGAACAAAACATAAATGAGACGATTTTCATCTCACTTTCAACTAAAACAGCTGCTGCCAAAGAGGACTTGTGGGAAACCTTCCAAACATTATGAATTCAGTAGGTTGTTAGCCTTATTAAGCCAGTTGTCCTGGAATGCCACTGGCGCTGCACTGACAATTAACTAGAGATGCCACCCCAGGCTTTTTAAACAACACTCTTCTCTTCTGGTCTTGCTTTTTTTCCTACAAAGATTCCCACCCTGATGGTACCTCCTGATATGAACCCACTTGGAAGTCAGTGTGCATAAAGCGGCATGCTTATAGAGTAAGAATTATAAGATTTGAGAAAATAATTTTCCTCAGAATTTTTGAACGCTGGAATTATGGGAGGTTTGTATATATAGATTTTGTGTTGAGAAGGAGTGTTGGCTTACCTGAATGCCTTTTCTCAGCATGATGATGAATAATCCATCAATGGGTTATTTCAGTCCTCCTGCCCAATCAGACTAAGTTGTCAAGTTGTCACACCCCTCTTTGTCTGGGACCTCCCAGTTTCATTGACAGCGTAGCCAATGACAACAGTTTGACATGATGATTCTCAAGCAGGTATCCCAAAAAAAACCCCAAAAACCCCCAGAAGAACAGGCACCCAACCAGGACCTTACTAACCACTAGATGGGAGGGCGTGGATTCCTCATCATCATGCTGAGAAAAGGCATTCAGGTAAGCCAATGCTCCTTCTCCAGCATGATGAGTGAAGAATCCACCAAAGCTTCCCGAGTCCCTATGGGTGGGGTTCAGTTGGGGCCGGTCCCCCTGATGGTGTGACTACTTGTTGTAAAATACGTCTACCAAACGTGGCCTTAGCCAATGCAAATTTGTCCAGACGGTAATGTCTAATGAAGGGTGAAGGCGAAGACCATGTCGCTGCCCTGCAAATTTCTTCAATGGACGCTTGGATTGCCCATGCCGCCGTTGTGGCAGCACTGCGGGTTGAGTGAGCCGTCACATGAGTAGGAACGGGCACGGCAAGTGATCTGTACGCACTTGCAATACAGGCCCTGATCCACCTACCTATGGTGGAAGCTGACACCTTTTGGCCCATTGAGGAAGGCTGAAAGGAAACAAACAGGGCTTCCGACTTATGCAGAGGCGCCGTGCGCTTGATATAACAGCGTAAGGCTCTCCTTACATCAAGTGAGTGCCATTGCCGTTTCAAATCATGCGACGGGTGAGGGCAGAAGTCTGGAAGAATAACATCCTACGCTCTATGGAATACTGTATTTATTTTTGGAATAAAGGAAGGATATAGCCTAAGAACCACTCTGTCCTCATGAAACATGCACAGGTCCTTTCTGATCGATAAGACAGCCAATTCCGATATGCGCCTGGCCGAAGTAATTGCAATCAGGAAGGAGACCTTGAGTTACAAGCGCCGTGAGGAACATGTTCTAAGTGGTTCAAAGGGAGATGAGGTTAGTGCCTGAAGAACCCGAGGTAAGTTCCAAGAAGGATACCTATGAACTACAGGTGGTCTACTATTAGTGACTCCCTTGAGGAAGGACCGGATGGTGGGGTGCCTTGATAAGGACTCTGAGGAGTCCCATGAGAGTACAGAGGAAAGTGCCGCTAACTGCGGATAGTGTTGGGCGCCAACCCCTTTTTGACGCCCTCCATTAGATATTCTAACACCCTGGGAATGGTTACCTGTGACAGACTCACGTGATTCCTGTCGCACGAGCGACAAAAGTTCTTCTACGTATGGTCGTAGATGTGGTTAGTTGCCGGTCTCCTGGCCCCCTGGATCATATCAATCACCGCCGAATACAATTCCGTAGTCAGGGTGCAGCATTCAAGTGCCAGGCGGTCAATTGAAACCATTGGGGGTCTGGATGCGGAAGATCCCCCTGCATCAACCATATTCGGTTGTCAGGAATCCTCCATGGGGCTGAGACTGAAAGGCTCACCAGGTCTGCGAACCATGGTCTTCTGGGCCAGTGAGGAGCTATAAAGATCACTTCCGCCTGCTCCTCCAGGATCTTCCTGATAACTGCTGGAAGCAGAGGCAGTGGGGGAAAAGTGTACAACAGGCCTTGTGGCCACCGGCTGCACAGGGCATCTGCCCCCTCTGCTCTCCGGGAGGAGAACCAAGAAAAGAATCTGGGCAGCTGAGTGTTCCCCGGCGAGGCGAACAGGTCCACGATTGGACGACCAAATCTGTCAGAGATCTCTCTGAATATATCTGGATGTAACATCCACTCCGAATGATCCACTATCGACCTGCTGAGGAAGTCTGCCTGCCAGTTTGCCTCTCCCGAGATATGCTCGGCCCTGATGGAGAGCAGGTGTTTCTGCAATGCTTGAGCCTCTGTCATGAGGGACTTGGACCGGGTACCCCCTTGCTGATTCACGTGAACTTTTGCTGCCACATTGTCCGTGAGGACCAGCACATGTTGCCCCGATTACTGTGTGAAACTGTTTGAGAGCTAGGTGGATTGCTCTGAGCTCCAACCAATTTGTGCTGTGCCTGAGGTCTGTCTGTGACCACTGACCCTGAGTCATCTGGGATTGGAGATATGCATCCCAACTAAAGAGACTTGCGTCCGTGGTCACCCTGACTCGATTGGGTTCTTTGAATAGAGTCCCCTTGTGAATAGCCAATGAAGTCCACCAGCCGAGAGAAAGACACACCTGCTGAGGAACGCGCACCAACTGGTTGGATGTACTGATGTGCTGTCTTTGGTACGGAAGTAGGAATCACTGAAGGTCCCATGCGTGTAATCGGGCCCAGGGCACTATTGCTATGCATGATATTAACTTCCCCAGGAGTTGAGAAAGTGTGGCCAATAATGCAATCCTTCTGCGCACCCTGAGTGCCAGGCCTCTGATGCTCCTGCGCCGCTCCTCTGATAGGTACACGTGACAAGAGTCCGTGTCTATCACCGCACCCAGATGCAGTAGGCAGGTGGAGGGAGTCATCTGGCTCTTTTTGAAATTTTATCAAGAACCCGTGGTTCTGTAGGGTCCTTTTTGTGAGGGCCAAATCCAAATGGGCGGTTGAGACTGACAGGGACTGGATCAGAATGTCCAGATAACACTTGACCCGTACGGGGATCAACCTTAAATGAGCTGCCAGCATTGCCAGGATCTTGGTAAAGACCCTGGGGGCTGAGGAGAGGCTGAATGGGAGAGACCTGTACTGAAAGTAGCGGCTGAGGTAGCAGAATCACAGATACTTGCGATGGTTCGGGAGGATAGGGATGTGCATGTATGCCTCTTTTAGATCTATTGAAGTCAATAGATCCACCTGCCTGATACTGGTTAGGATGGAATGTAACGTCTGCATCTTGAACCTCCGGTATTGAAGGTGAAGGTTCAGCCCCTTGAGATCGAGGATTGCCCTCCATCCCCCTGAAGATTTTGGAACTACAAATAGAATAGAGTAATACCCCAGTCCCGCCTGGTTCAGGGGAACTTTCTCTATGGCCTTGATGGTGAGTAGGTATTGGATGGCATCTTCCATGAGCCCTCTTTTTATAGAGTTTCTCATGGCTGGGCAAGACACGAAATGATCTACTGACATGGATTTGAACTCCAGGGACAGGCCTTCTCTTATGGTGTGCAGAACCCAGGAGTCTGTGGTCGTGTGTTCCCATTGGCGGATAAAGAGAGTAAGTCTGCCGCCAATAGGGGGAGTCCCCTCTGAGTCACTTGGCGCAAAGGAAGGGGCGACCCCCTCTACCACGAAAGGAATGTTTATTTTGGGGCTGGTACCAGGTCCTGTCCCTATAGCTTGGCCTGTCAAAGGAGCGCTCAGTCTTAGGGGCTGTGGGTCGGTATGGTTGTGCAGGCTGTGTCGCAGGTCCAGTCAGAAAGGATTGTCGGCGACTGTAAGGGAGGAAACGTCTGTTAGTTCTCCTTGCCAAATGAGAAATAATCTTTTGTTTCTGTTTGTTTTCGATGAGATATGGCGTTAGGACCTCCCCAAATAATCTGCCACCCGTGAAGGGGCCAGTGGCCACACGCCACTTATGTTTGCTCTCAGCTCTCCAGTTTTTGAGCCATAGAAGTCTCCTAGCGACTACACTGGAAGTCATTGCTCAGGCTGAGTGCTTGGCCGAGTACAGGGAGACATCCACCATATACTCGGATGTGGCTATTAGTTTGGTTAAATCCTGATGGATCCTGACCTCTTCTAATGGAATTCTGTCCTGCAACTGTCGAAGCCAGGTAATTGAAATCCTGGCAAAGAAAGAAGTGGAAGTTGCCGCCTTTGCTGCCCATGCAGGTGCCAAATGGACCTTGCATAAGGCCATTTCAGATTTTTTATCTTCCGCCTTAAGGGTGTCCGAGACATCTGCCGGGAGACTGGCAGTCGAAAAAAGCGGAGCCAATGATTCATCTACTTTTGGCACCTCCAATAAATCTGCCAAATTCTTTGCCATGTCCACAATCTTGTGCTCAGCCGCTCCCTGGGTAGGCTGAGCTGCCAGCGACTCGACTCCCACTGTCCCTGAATATTTTTGAGGAATAATGGGGGACAGGGAATTTGGAGGTGTTTATCTACAGGCTCAGCAAACGGGATTAGTGTCCTGATCAGAGGAAGGCTGTGGGTTTGGAGCCGGATGGGAGGAAATCTTATCCGCTGCACAGGCTCTGCGCAGCAAGGAAGGAAATAGTGAAGCGTTAAATAGCTCTGCCATGGGCTGAGATTCATGGGTAGGTTCCTCACAATCAGACCAACGGTCCATACCTTCCTCATAATCCGAAACTTTGGAAGCGTCGGATTCAGGAGAATGGGATGGGGAAACCACACCTGAACGATCCAGTGGAGGTTGTGCAGAGGTGGCTGGTGCAGAAGAAAGCCCTGGAATGGGAGACGTCTGATGGTGACCCGATGATGCCATGGCTTGGAACACAGCTTGCAATATCAACACTTGGAGCTGGTCAGAGAAGGCCTGCTCTAGCGGAGGCCGTAACACCGCAGCAGTTGGTGTGATGGCAGCAGTGGGTGCCATTGACGGGCCGGGCAGGTCGAGGTCCTCCCCCAACAGAGGCGATCCTGCCTGACCAAAGGTCTGAGTTGAGATCTGCTGATGCACATTCTCGGGTGACCAAGCTCTCGAAGTGGACGGTAGATGCGACCCCGTGTCTGGTGGTGTGGAGGTTGACAGCGTATGACCTCTTTTCAGCAGACAAGCGTTGGGCCTGGGAGAATTGCTTCTCCAGGGCTCTGTGTGTTCGGTCGGCCTGCTTATCGCTTGCCTTGCTAGCCTTCCTGCTGTACTTTGATTTGGTTTGGCCTTACCTCTAGGCGCCTCGGATGCTAGCTCAACTTGGACGGAGGTGTTGTCTGTGTCCAAACGCTGTGGCTCAGTGGTTTCTGCCATATCAACTGAGATGTACCCGAGGCAACTCTGGAACTGACTCACTCTGCAAGGGACATCAGGAGCCCCCCCCTTAAGAGGGACTGACTTCACGTGGATTAGTGTGAGCCGGCCCACTGGCTAACCTGGCTCACGCCTGGCGCTGAAGCGCTCTTCATCCGGTCAATGTGGTGGCCAGAGGCCAAGTTGGTGATGAAATCACACGTGTCCCACAATAGTGGCAATGGTCAGGATCTTGAAGCAACCACTAGATGCAGAGTGGCAGATATAGGCAATGTGGCGAGCAGGGCCTGAAGGACCGTCACTTCAGCAGTGGTTCTACACTCTTGTTATTAGATGTCTTCAATAGGAATAATGGTTCTGAAACACTTAAGCTCAATGATTAAGTGAATATAGATAATGCAAGAGCATATGTAGAAAAATATGTCACTATACCAGTTAAAATTTATGCAGAACAAAATATAGCTGCAGAAAGTTATTTAAACAAGCTTACAAAATGGCGCACTAGCCTGGGTGTTAAATGGGCGTTTCCCTGTGTAAATGTGCTTCAAAATATCGGACACCCTGAGCTCCGGTGAGGAAGGAAGGGGGGGATATAATGAGACTCTTAAAACAGTCAGAAGGTACACAGAAGTTAAGGCAAAATTCGAGGCTTTTCTGAAATGCAGAAATCACTTTAGCAAATCGCGCCTAATAGCTGTTAGGCACGAAACGGCTCACCGCTGTAAAGTGAAGCTTCGTCCTCTTCAGCGGCAGCCGGGGATACAACAAAAATTTTTCAGGCAATATTTCCCCCGTCGCTCACTTCCAAGAACCAACTCAGCTGTGCTTCGGCCAGAGAAAACTTCAGCGAAAGCTGAGCTCCGCGGATTCAAAATGGCGGCCGCTATAGGAATCACTGACCGGGCCCGGTCAGAGAAGAAGCCATGTGGCCTCAAAAGGCATGCGCGCTTGCCAGGGAAGTGGGAATACTCAATCCCCCTCTAACTATAACGAAAACTCCCCCCACTCCTATCTAGCAAAGTTTGGGAACAACTCAGCAGACTGCTGAATTCAGTGAAAAGAAACCCCCCCCCCAATACTGGAGAGGAATTTTACTCTAGCCCTGAAGGGAAAGGGAAAAAGGATTCAGATCTCCCAGAGAAGGGAATAATCACCACCAATTCTCCAATCTCAAGAAGAATCCACCAATGGATTGATAATATCTAGTCTGACCTGCTATCCAAACAAACTGAGAGTCAGATTAACATGTCCTCATGGGCGAAAGACTAAGATGAAACTGGGAGGTCCCAGACAAAGAGGGACATGACAACTTGACAACTTAGTCTGATTGGGCAGGAGGACTGAAATAACCCATTGGTGGATTCTTCAGTCATCATGCTGGAGAAGCTGCTTTTTTTAAAGACAGGTTTGGTGGACATTGGTATCCTCTACTCTAAAATCCTGGAGATGATCACAAATAATTTTTGATTCCTACATGTCATATCTCTGAATAGCTAGCTCACTGTAAATTTGACTCGTACCCTCAAATCGAAACTGAACAACGCCAAATGCTTTTTCTTTGTACTGTAAGTAGTTCCTTCTAAACTTACTATAAGCAAAGCCCCTTTAAGCCTCGCATCCAATCACTGGATTATTGTTCTGCAAACAGAGCTCTTGGAGACTCTCCATTTCATTGGGAACTTCTTACCTTCACTTTATATATTTGTAAAGTTGAAGTAAGGAAGAAATACTCATCTGTATGGCAAAATTTGATGCTTTGATATTCGTACTACCAGTTGCTACATCTATGAAATTTATGTAATGGCTTCAAATCCATGCAGCACCGTAGATAGTGCCAACATTCTAAATATAATATTCCATTGACCTTACCTGTGCCAATTAGCTTGTATGAAGCATCTTGGATGAACCAGAGTTTTTCAGATGTCCATGTGCACATTTACTCATAATGAATAAATTATTGAACATAGACATCAAAAGTATTCAATATATATTTATATACTGTATATAAAGAGAGAGAGAGAGAGAGAGAGAGAGAGAGAGAGAGAGAGAGAGAGAGAGAGAGAGACTCTTTTAAGCTGAGATTCTTACCATCTGCTGAAGTATTCAGTACATTCTACACAGACCATGTTCAGCTTACACTAGCTGGTCAGCCATACTAGTGTAAACAAGGCTATGCAACATTTCTGATGCACTTCCCAAAAGGCTTCGAAATACATGGAGTAGTAAATAGAGAACGTGAATGTAAATTTTTCCAACAGTTCATTTTCCCAGGGTAGTGAAGCAGTTGGGTTCTATGTTTTCTAAATGACTATTCTAGAATCAAGTCCAAACTACTTTAAAACTAATTGTCATGAATAAACTTAAATTATAATAGTCCATTCAACAATCTAGGCACCTGTTCAGGGAATAAAGTCTTTTCTTGTTAGCTGAGCTGGCATACATCACAGGCACATACATGTCTACTCTGCACTATCAGTTTATTCCATTGAATGTGCTCCTAAACAGGCAAGCATACATAAGATTACAGCTGTGCGCTAGTCCTTAGATGTCAAAGTTTGAAGTGGTGGATGAATTTAACAGACCTCTGTTAAACCATATTAACTCTTTTTGCTGAAGAAAAGGATTTTGCTGCTGAACTTGCTTTTAAGTACCTCATTTGAGATCAGAGAGAAGATGCTCTTCCCAGCTGCAGGCAGAAGTATGAAGAAAGTGGCAAGGCCTCTGGAAGCAGAAGAGAATTTTGTTCTCTTAGTTCACAAGATGCAGATACCAAAATAAAAATCTAACCTTCCCTCTGGACTGGGGAAAAAAAAAAGACTAAGTCCCATCATTCACCATTCTAATTAAAGTTGAACATATAGTAAAGGATATTAGAGCAATTTGGGAACATCTACGGCTGGGAATGATGAACTCTTCAAATCTGCAGACTTTTGTTTATTGTAGTAGCTTTGATGAATTGGTTGAAATTAAGGCCTGGTGCTATCTTGTAAGCAGATTTGAGCATATATTACTTAATTGCATACTCACAGAATACTATTTACCAGCAAAAAATGAGAGGTGAGAATTTTTTAAAAAAACAGTTAAGCGCAGTAAAATAACATAATTGGGATGTCTACTTTTAATTGGAGTCCATTATGTCTCTAGTCTCTCATAACACTATTTCACAAGATACGTATTAATTAAGCATTAATATTTAAATATTAAATATTAATTAAAATTTAAGTTTCTTGTGAATGTGAGCAAAAAAGAATATGAATTATGTTACTGTTCAAAATCTTTAAATGTTTTGTTCAGTTCTATAAAGGAGAAGGGCAGAAATAAATTTAAATAACTCCATTGCTCAGCTTTTCTGGTTATTAGCAAGTAGAGTAGGCACTGGTACAATTTGATATAAGTCAGATTTGCTAATCACAGAAGCGATTATGTTTCTGCTGCTTAATTTTTTTTAAAGTATTGAGTATCTTGCTCTATTGCATATAATTTTGTATCTACAAAGCTCTAAGATGTTTAGAAGCAACTCATAAACGTTTTAAGAGCTATGGTTCACGTCCCTTGGTATACGTCAATTGCTCTCCCATGCCTGAAATCCAGACCAGCTTTTATAGATGTGTTATAGATTATGTTGCTTAACGTATAGGTTAAAACATATCTTTATGCAGATATCTTTGGCCTGCTTGATCTTCATGGATAATTTTGCATCATCCTGGAAGACAGAATAAGGAAGGTGTAGACTCAGATTCAGGATACTGGTGTCTCCTAGCCCAATGTTTTCACTTCTTAGGGGTTAAAATGAGTAATTAAACAAAGAAACATTGTGTCCTTTGAGATGTCGGAGATGGCTGGGGTATATCTTCTTATTATTGCAGAGGCTAAAGGTAATGATGTTTTGCACTAGACATCCATTTAATGAATATCTTGTCCATTCTGCATAGACTTCCTTACGGATGTGATGATTAAACAAATCTCCCATGCTTTATTGCAGTATGTATGTATGTACGTACGTATGTATATATAAGCATGCCTAATAACTGGGCAAGTTGGGTAAGGAAAATTTTTGGTAAGTGATTAGTCTTTAGAAATCTGCAGAATAGTCACTAAATTCTGGTTTACTGCTATTGCTGTAAGATGGTAATGGGTGGAATTCAGGGACTGCTACTCTAATATGGACTTATTCTATTGTCTGAATTATTTTATATTATTTCTGTTTTCATCTACATATATTGGAAATTTGATTCCTGAACTGAATAAATACATTTACCAGATTGCCATCTTAAACAAAACTTTAGCAAAAAAGTAGCATACATAGTGTGTCAAATAAATAATTATGGAGGTTCAGACACTAGGGGTTACCACAAAGAAAGTCGAGCTATTCTCCAAAGCACCTGAGGGCAGGACAAGAAGCAACGGATGGAAACTAATCAAGGAGAGAAGCAAGAACTAAGAAGAAATTTCCTGACAGAACAATTAATCAGTAGAACAACTTGCCTCCAGAAGCTGTGAATGCTCCAACACTGGATGTTTTAAAGAAGAGATTGGACAACTATTTGTCTGAAATGGTATAGATTCTCCTGCCTAAGCAGGGGGTTGGACTAGAAGACCTCCAAGGTCCCTTCCAACTGTTATTCTATTGTATTCTATTTCTATTCTATTCTTAAGAATAGTTTTGTTCAATCTACATTTATTTTTATATATATTGCAATATATTTCTGTAAAGCAACTACAACTACTTTTAAGATTAAGCTATAATCAGATGGCCCATTGCATGCTAGGACTTCTCAACTACATTACTTTAAAAAATATATTTAACTATGCCATTAAAGTATGGCAGGATTTTTTATTTATTTTTATCTTGCCTTTATTATTTTTTATAAATAATTCAAGGCAGTAAATATGCCTAATACTTCCTCCTCCTATTTTCCTGAAAATATCAACAATCCAGTGAGGTGGGCTGGGCTGAGTGTGTGTGACTGGCCCAAAGTCACCTAGCCAGCTGTCATAGCTAAGGCAGGACTATAAATAACAGAGTCTTTTAGTTTCTAGCCTGGTGTCTTAACCACTACTAGACCAAACTGGTTCTCTTGTAAATGCATGTAAAACCATTCCTGGCAAAACCTAATTTAAATAACATAAGTGAAAACCAAATTCAGATAATTTCAATGTAAAAATGATTTTCTATCGTTCTATTATAAAGAAACTAGGAGAAGCAAATGTTATAGTGCCTTTTCTATCATCTTCAAATATTGTTAAGTATCTTTCCATAGGAGCTTAGCATCTTTATTTTTCTGCTCAATATTTATTCTAGTCATCTTGTTCTGCAGTGCATTTTGTTCTTTTGTTAACCAAACAAGGCAGTGCATATACCTCTTTCAAGACATGTCTTTAGTGTGACATGGGTTCAGTTAAGATTGTTGATAAAATGTAGTTTATTAAATTATAAATCTTGTAACAAAAACAAGACACAAGAAAGACACAAACAAGCTACAGGGACTAGACAGAGAGCCAATGAAGACACCATGACTTCTTTACAAGTAAAACTGCAACATAAATTATTTTACATTTCATTCAGGATGATTCATCTCTCAGCTTTAGTAAAACATCTGAATTTCAGGAGTCACAACTATTTAATGTTAAAATTAAGCATCTTGCACATTTCCAAACTCTTGATCATTTCCAGTTTTTAATATTCCTTCCATACATCAATCCATGCAGAGAGTTACTTAAGATACTTAATGCAACAAATAATAACAGTTCCAAGTTGTACAGTGAATATACATTTGTCAAAAAAGGAGGATGGGTGTTAATATGAAGAGGGGCATATACTACAAAATAAAAGCAGACATTTTACAAAACTTGAGTGTTGCTAAACAGCTTCCAAACCATTAACACATGCCCAGATTTCCAAATGTTCAGTGTTCCAGACAAATTAAGAGACCGCTTTTAATGTTAGATGATCAGGGTTTCCTTTCTTCCCCTTCTTCTCATATGGAAACACTTTAAAATAGACTGCTAGGCTGGAGCGCAATGTCAATACAGACAAAAATGTACAGGTATAAGACTGAATTTTCAAACCATGGCTCTAGATTTAGACCTCTGTTATTGTGCACTGTCCGTCAGGCCTTCTCGATCTCACAGTGGTATTTCCCACCCCACTTCCTGCCACTGGTCTATCCAAGGCTGGCTGATTTCCATTCAGATGTCTCTGCTGAGCAGAGGGTACAGGCAGCTGAAACTGGGCAGACAAATCCTCACTATCACTGCTAGCATCCGATTCCGTTTCCTCTACGGAGGTGTCAATAACTGGCATCCTACCAGAAGATAGCGGTTCATGGTCTTCCTCTCCCTCACCCCTATGGCTCCTTTCAACCAAACTGTCTCCATTTACTTGCAAGTTGGCAAAAGAGTTCTCTAGAGTACTGTCCTCGGGTGATGGTGTTGCAGGACTTGTCAGCTGACCATCTAGTGTAGGAAGGGGTCTAACAGTTGCTAGAGGCTGCCCAGCAGCAGCAGCACCTAGCGCTGGTATACTGTCTGCACCATCGGCAGAGCTCTCTCTTGCTAGATTGATAGCCGCAGAGTCACAGTCCAACCTAAGCCCAGCCACTCCCTTCTTTGGAATATCTATTATGTCCCGTTTTATTTTCCTGCGACGTCCATGCTCATTTCTCCTATACTGAACCATGTTCTCAAGATCTGCCACATATAAGAAACCAGCAATTAACATTTCAGTGCTCTTTTTACCTTTAGAAAACGCATCTTCCAACTCCCTACTGGTACGTTCATCGTATTGCCACCAGCCATTTCTGCCTTCATAATACCAAGCATATTCCCCATTGCCTCTACTGGCTGCTTTGAGTTCCTCAGGGGATAGCAAAGTTGGTTTATCAAGAAAGTCCTCTGGAATCTCCTGCCGACAGAGCGCACACCGCTTTCCCAGCCAGGAGGCTCCTTTTACACACAGATAGCAGAAG